ATATACACACATACATATACACACATACATATACACACATACATATACACACATACATATACACACATACATATACACACATACATATACACACATACATATACACACATACATATACACACATACATATACACACATACATATACACACATACATATACACACATACATATACACACATACATATACACACATACATATACACACATACATATACACACATACATATACACACATACATATACACACATACATATACACACATACATATACACACATACATATACACACATACATATACACACATACATATACACACATACATATACACACATACATATACACACATACATATACACACATACATATACACACATACATATACACACATACATATACACACATACATATACACACATACATATACACACATACATATACACACATACATATACACACATACATATACACACATACATATACACACATACATATACACACATACATATACACACATACATATACACACATATACACACATACATATACACACATACATATACATACACATATACATACATATACATACACATATACATATGCACACATACATATACACACATACATATACACACACACACATACACACACACACATATACATATACACATATACACATATACACATATACACATATACACATATACACACACATATATATATATATATAACTATATCTATATCTATATATATATATATATATATATATATATATATATATATATATATATATATGTGTGTGTGTGTGTGTGTGTGTGTGTGTGTGTGTATGTATATTTATATATAACATACATATATACATATGCTTACATACATGTGTGTGTGTGTGTGTGTGTGTGTATGTATGTGTGTGTGTGTGTGTGTGTGTGTGTGTGTGTGTGTGTGTGTGTGTGTGTGTGTGTGTGTGTTTATGTGTGTATACATATATGTGTATTTGATAACTGTTGCTATAACCACCATTATTGTTATTTTTATTGATGTTATTATTTTATCATTATTGTTATTATCATGATAATCATTATTATTATTAGTGTTGTTATCAGTATCATGATTTTTATTATTATTTGGTTTTAATTATTATTATTACAATTATTGTAATTATTGTATCTGTTGTTATTTTTATTATTGTTATTTTCGTAATCGTTATTTTTATTATTGTTATTTTTGTTATTATTATTGTAATTGTTATTTTATTATTATTTTTATTATTGTTAATTATTATTGTTACTTTTACTTATTATTTTATTATTATTTTCAATGTAATTACTATTATTGTGATTATTATTATTATTATTATTATTATTATTATTATTATTATTTTATTATGATTATTATTTTTATAGATATATATATTTTTTTATCATGATCCTCATCCTCATCATTACCAATAGTATTAATACTGAATTTTAATTAGTTTTTGTTATTTTTTATATTGTTATTGCTGAATTATTTCAATATATCTGTTGTCATTATTATTATTATTACTATTATTATTAATATTATTACAAACATCACTATCATTATTTTTAAGTTATTGTATATTAGTATTATTATCACAATTAATGTTATTATTATTATTTGTTATTATTATTATTATTATTATTATTATTATTATCATTATTATTATTATCAATATTATTGTTATTATATTATTGTTATTATATTATTAATATAATCATTAAAATTAGTAGTAGTTATTGATTTTTTTATTATTAGTATTAGTTTTATTATCATCATCATCATTCTCATTGTTGTTATTAACCCTTTGTCTGGAGGTACATGACCTATCCTCTGGCATTCAAAGGCTCACCTCACCTGACTTTCGCATCCCTTGAATTTTTTTCCCTAATGCTTTTGATATTGATACTGTTGTTATTATATAGTTGATTTTTTTTTTCTTTTCTTTTCTTTTTTTTCTTTTTTTTTTAATACTGATACTAGTGAAAAGTAAATAGGAATCTTTACAAAAATTAAGGAAAGGGATATACAGGTGAGATAGGGAGGACTAGTAATTAATTGAGTCCTTGGTGACTGAGCCATCTCTGTGTAAACACGAATGATTAAATAAAATCACAGTAGACATGACTTGTAATTCATGCCAACCCAGTACAAAGGGCTAATCAGTTATTTATATTATTGATATTATTATTATCATTATTATCATCATTATCATTCTTACAATTATTATTTTCATTATTGTCATTATTATTATTGTTGTTGTTGTTGTCGTTTTCATGTTATCACTGTTTTTATTATAATTATTATTATTATTATTATTATCATTATTATTATTATTATTAACATTATTAATATTATTACTATGATTAGTATCACCATTATCATTGTTATTTTAGACATTGCTCATATCATTAATTTTTTATAGTTAATGTTTTCAGTAGCATTATTTTTGTTATTATTATCACAAATTTTATCATAATCAT